ATTCTTGTGTTAAGGAGTCCCCAAAAAAGTTTCTCCTCCTTTCCTTCCTCTACAGGGCCATTTTATCCACACACGTGCCTATGGCCTTGGGTCCCTGAAGACCCTGGCCTCTGCTTCAATATTAACTTTAAGTTGCTTACCCTATACCTCATGCAATTCTGGATGGCATCTCATATAATCTTTGCCCTCTGGCTTTTTAAATTCCTCCGAAGTGGAGTAAATGGAGAGAACTTGTTTGGGGCCTTCTAGTGTTGGGGGACCCACGGGGAGTCTCACTGGTCCATACAAGCTTCAATAATGCTGAATCGACACCTTTGTTTCAACACCATCTGTGTCCACCACATTCATCCCTTTCTCAATAACCATCTGAAGACGTCCTCACTGCTGGGTGGAGTTCCTTGACTCCCTTTCTGTCTCTCCCATTTTCTTTTTAATTACTTTGGTGACCTTGGTATCAGTAAGATCCAGATGGGGAAGATAAGACAGCAACTCTGATAAAGTTTCCCAGACTGTTCGATTTTGCAAGAGTAATGTCACATGGGGTGCCCACGTAACAGGGGCCCCCTTAATCACAGCATTTACCATAACCTGGTAACGGGTATATTCAGTGGGTGAATGTCCTAGTCACTGTAAAGTCAATCCCACATGGCTTGCCTGCAAAGCGTATCAGCTGCTTCATCTGATGAGTTCCACTTGGCAATTATAGGGGGAGTTGGGCAGTCCTCCTTCTCAGGTAAGCACACCTTATGGTGGCTTTTATCCAATCTACCAGGAATCCCTCAGGAATAACTTTTTGTGTGTCTGGATCACATATAACCATCTGTGATTGTTCAATAGAGGGCTGCAGATCCTGTAGCAACCCAAATATGCTCTTCCACTCTGAAACATTCAAAACCAAAGACATAGACCCCAAATTAGTTACTCTCATAGTCCATTTTGGTAGAGATTCCTCAGGAAGCTGATAATTTGATCCACCAAATGAGACCTCTCCTTCATGCCATACCCCCTGGTTTTAGTAGTTTTTTGGTTTTGGCATCCACCACACTGGCTACCTCTTTGGTGATCAGAGGGTGATTAGAGGCACCTTCCTGGCATAATTTTTCCCTTTCTGAGCAGCTTTGAATCTAGTGGCCAAAGCTCAGACTGACCCAAATTTGAACATGTTCCAGCATCAAGGTCCAACTCAGAACTCTCTCTTATTTTAGCCATTACAGATAACAATAACCAAGAGATTATATATTTAGCATGCTTATTATTTTGCATTTCCTTACATATCCAATGAGCCAACTCCTCAGGAGTTGGGTCTACTCTCATCTCTAATTCCACTGGTAACTTGTACTTTTAGTAACTGATCAAAGAGCAGCTGCAGTTTTATACTATGTGTGACTAGGTAGCCATCCAGGGACCAAGAACTCCTCATCTCTGCTCTCCATTTTTCCTGTTCCCAAACCATGTGTTTCCATGAGCCAGAGCTGTTCTAGCAAATTCCACTTCACTGACACCAAATGTCTAGAAAAAACTGTTTTTTCCTTTGTGTTTTCCTTTGCTCTCATACTTCACTTCTGGCCACCAAATGTGTGGGTTCCCCCCCCCCCACATACCAATTCTCCAAAACCTGCTGGGTGTCCTACAATTTGGTTTAGTTCTGACACTGTCTGTCTGGAGTTAGCATCAGATCCCACCAGTTACTAGCCCTGTCTCACAAGACTGACCCCGCTTCAGGTGCCAATCACCAAGTCCCCTGTTATCTCCTCTACTTCTGATCTTCCGGCTATAAATGGGTTCCCATGACCCCATCCTTGGGTTTGACACTTTGCTAGAACAGCTTACAGACCTCAGGGGAACTCTTACTTATGTTGACTGGTTTATTATATAATAAACAATATGATAAGGATTCAGATGAATAGCCAGATGAAGAGATACATAGGATAAGGTCTGGAAGGGTTCCAAGCATAGGAGCCTCAGTCACCCTGGAATTGGGATGCACCTACCACCTTCCCAGCACATAGATGTGTTCACCAGCTTGGATGCTCTCTGAATCCAATACTTTTGGAATTTTTATGGAGGCTTCATCAGATAGGTATGATTGACTCTCAATTTCCGATGCTTCTCCCACCTCTTGAGAATCGGGATGGGGCTGAAAGTACCAAGCTTCTAATCATGGCTTGGTCTTTCTGGTGGCCAGTGCTGATCCTGGAGCCCACAAGTCATCTCATTAGAACAAAAGTTACTTCTATCACTCAAGAGACCCCCAGGGTCTTAGGAGCTCTGTGTAAGGAACTGGAGTCCAAAACCAAGTATTAGAAGGAACTGGGGGCAGAGATCAGTATATATATATTTCTTTTTTTCTACAAATGAATACAGAGAATTGCAGCCAAGACCAGCTTACCTGGAGCAGAAGTCAGGAGAGCCATAAACTAGGAACAAACACCTTAAATGGTAATTCTGATGATTTGCTGGAGGCTGAGTGAGAAGGATGAGGTAAGAGTAGGACATTCCTGGGGTCAATTTTAGTGTTAGAGGGGCCAGAAGCAGATGCATGTAACTGGAGGAGGGCAAAGGTTATAGGCCTCGAAGGATACATCTACTTGAGATCTGGAACTAAAGTAAGGGCAGGAGGGAAGAGATCCTCTGACCTCTCTCCTCTTCTACCTTCGCATCTATTGTTGCTTTTTCCTGTTGGATTGGACAACCAACTGGAAGCCAACCATGAGGCCAACCATGAAAGTGCGGAATTGGTGATGCAGTCCTCAGCAGTCAGTCTCCCTTGGAAGGGGTATAGTAGGAAAATAACGAACAAAACCAGCACAGGACCTGTCTACAACACAGTTAGAGATGATGCAACTATTTTTCCTTTTGAAAAAATCCTTTCCTTCATTTTATTCTGATCACCTTCCCTTTTCATACCCATTTATCTGCTCTTGAATATATTCCTCCCATCCAAGTACTAACCAGGCCTGACCCTGCTTAGCTTCTGAGATCAGACGAGATCGGGCGCGTTCAGGGTGGTATGGTCATAGACAGCTCTTGAATATATTCCTAATAAAAACCCAAGTCTTCAAAAACACCCATATTATGATGGATTTAGCAAACCATGTCCAATTTAATCTTTTAAAAATATTTATACATCTGATATTCATTATTCAGTACTTTGTAAACATATTTCTACAACAGTTAAGAAAATTTATAACTTATAATGAATATAAGCAAAGATTTCATCATAGTACTATGTGAAATGGTTATACATGTTGTGATCTTACACATTTGAGCAAGACAGAAGTCATTGCTTGAATTTTAGAAATAATTTAAACCCAACTCTCATTATGATATGAATTTGCTTTTACAGGGCACTAAAGCATCCTGAATAAACAGTAAGCCACTGATTATTTATCATGGATTTGGAAACATAATGTTCTAGATATAATTATGATATGTAATATATGCAGATAAAATATTTAATTATGTGAAAAATGGATTAGAAAAAGATTAAAACACAAAAATAAATGAACAAAAAAATACAAATAACACAAAATAAAATACAAACATATAAAAATGTCGCCGTAAGTTTAAAAGTAAATTAAAACAATTTCAATGTTATATCAGCAAATATGCACATATAGTTAAGAAATTATATATACTATAGTGATTCCATTCTTTTGTAAAAGAAAAAAGAAACTGATTTTTTTTTTGGTATGGAGGAAGTGTGGTGATTCTTTTATTCAATTTCTATGTTTTTCTCCATTATACAAAAATCCTTCAATGAGCATAACAATGTGCTTTAAATTATATAACATCACCAAAAAAAAAAAAAAAAAGGCATCAACAATACTGCTTGGTCTTCAAAAAATTTCCTTGTGATATTTAAAATGAAATAACTATTACTTAAGGAAAAAAATAAAATTACATGTAAAGCTCACACACGTTTTTTTAAATTTAGTAATACAAATGATTTATGCCTGTGTGTACAGACATAAAAACACATGTCCATGTACATACATAAGAAAGAAGTGATTTAAAAATAGCAGTAAAATACAGTTGACCCTTGGACCACACAGATTTTAACTTCACGGGTTCACTTTTTTTTTTTTTTTTTTTTTAAAGATTTTATTTATTTATTTGAGAGAGAGAACACATGAGAGGGGATAGGGTCAGAGGACAAAGCAGACTCCCCGCCGAGCAGGGAGCCCGATGCGGGACTTGACCCCGGGACTCCGGGATCATGACCTGAGCCGAAGGCAGTCGCTTAACCAACTGAGCCACCCAGGCGCCCCTCACGGGTTCACTTATATACGGATTTTTTACCATACAGTACAGTACATGTATTTTTTTCCTTATGATTTTCTTAGTAACTTTATCTTTTCTGTAGCTGACTTATTGTAAGAATACAGTGTATAATACATGTAACACAAAACTGTGTTAATTGACTATTTATGTTTGGGGAAGGCTTCCTGTCAACAGTAGGCTATTAGTGGTTAAGTTCTGGGGGAAGCCAAAAGTTTTACACAGATTTTTGACTGCACAGGGAGTTTGTCACCCCTAACCCCTGTGTTGTGCAAGGGTCAACTGTACACAGACAACTACTGATGAGAGAAATCAGCACCCCCACAATCATGAAGTAACATTCAAAATCTTAAAAATCTGATCAAATGCTGTTGTGACTCCCTTTATTTTCAGAAGGTAAGTTTGAATGCTCTTCCGATGCACGTGCTTGTTCACGGGTGAGTCCAATGGACTCCTCACTCTGTGAATTTCAAAACAATTTCTGAAAAGGTTTCAGAGGAAGACTCTTGGGTTTTACTTGTGTTTTAAAGCAAACTCATAAACCTGAGGCCTCCCAAACGCGTGCAGCCATCCTGCAGCTTCTGGCTGTTGAATAGATCCTTCATAATTCCGCTATGAATTTCTTAGTAAATGTCATATTTCAAAGTGATACACCATGTTTAAAGTTATACTTCAGAAAAAATTCCAAGCTTGTGGTTTGATTTCCACAATACCTGGTATCTGGTCTTCAGGTAACTTTATTAATACTTTATATTGCCTTTATCACAGATTTTCTATCATTCCTAAATTTAAGGGGAAGAACAATTTTGACATGTATTCATTTGTTGATCAAATATACAAAATATACCCTGATACTGATGTTAATGATTTTTAAAATTATACATACTGCCAATTATTACATAGAACCGAGGCTTATATGACACAAGAATTAATAGGTTTGAACTTTTAAAAGTCGTCTGAAGGAGAGAGGAGTTCCCATCTCATGGTTGTATCAATTTCTTCTTCGAAATTTTCCAGATCCTGCTCCTTAGAAAGCTCTAAAAATACCTAAATAGGAGACAATGCAGAAGGAAAAGGAATTATCAAGTTGTTTATTGTCTTCAAAATAAATAGGAAACTGGGGCACCTGGGTGGCTCAGTCGGTTAAGCGACTGCCTTCGGCTCAGGTCATGATCCTGGAGTCCCGGGATCGAGTCCCGCATCGGGCTCCCTGCT